CCTGGCCACTGCAGCCTCAACCTGCTGGGCTCTGGTGATCCTTCTGCTCAGCCTTCCAAGTAGCTGGAACTACAGGCGCGCACTACCACGCCCAGCTAATTTTTTAATTTATTGTAGAGATGAGGTCTCGTTAAGTTGCCTAGGCAGGTTCGAACCCATGGGCTCAGGCAATTCACTCACCTCAGCCTCCCCATGCGCAGGATTACAGGTTGAGGCACCGAGCCCGGGTCATCCTCCCTTTCTTAAGCCTGTCTCATTCATCTCTGTATCACTAATGCCAAATAATAAATGCACACTAAACTGCACCTTTCTGGTCTGCAATGACAGAATGGAGGAAGCAGTACAGGCCATAATAATGGTTAAGTGAAGCCAGAAATGGTTACTAACCATGTAACACTGGGCAGATTACCTAATTTGTGAGCATTTGATTCTCCATTTATAAGTCATGCTTGCCCGGTTATTTCCCCTTTGGTGAAGATGTCCGACCTAGACAAAGCAGCCCTTTCCGGACAATTTGTCCCCCTCTCCACCTCTTCAGTTCATCACTCACTACACTCAAATCATCCCAACTCTCCATCCCACCAGAGGTCTCAGAGCAGGCCTTTCAAAACTCAGGGCTTTGTATACCCTATTTCTAACACCTGGGAAATCCCTTTACCCTCAAAGCGGAGCTTAACATCCATTGGATGCTTCCTACTTAAGGCCTATGGGATTACTATTCAGAGCACATTCTGAAGCCAGACCTCTTGGATTCAAATCCATTTTGCTACTTTCTAGCAGCATGAGCTCCAGAGAGTCACTTATCTATGACAAAGCATGCCTCAGCTTCCTCATCTATGAAATGGAGATTTAAAAAAAAAAAAAAAAAAAACTGCCTATAATCCCACCACCTTGGGAGGCCGATGCGAGAGGACTGCCTGAGCCCGCAGGTTCAAGGCCAGCCTGAGCAACATGGTGAGGCCTTGTCTTTACAACAAATCAAAAAATTAGGTGGGCTGGTAGCTGTAGGTCCAGCTACTTGAAAGGCTGAGGCGGAAGGAGCGCCGGGGCCCAGCAGGTCGAAGCTGCGATGGCCGGGGGCATGCCACTGCACTCCAGCCTGGGCGACAGAGTGAGTCTCCAACTCAGAAACAAAAGCAAAAAAGCTGCAGAGGGCTGTAGTGAGGATTAATGTAGTGAGAATTAATTAATGGGGGCATAGCAAGCACTACACAAGCTTTGCTGTCATCATCACAACTCCTTCGGAGGTTCTGGGTTCTTTTTCAAGCTAGTGCTTGCTGAGAACACGCCCATATAGGCACCACTCCCCTCCCTAGTCCCACGGTTCATTTCTCACGGAGCTGGGATTCGAACTCCTGCTCCTTGACCCGCAACTGCAACGTGGGAAAGGCTGCGCGGACTTCCTGGACGCCTGCCCTTCCACAAGACAGCAACTAAGGGGTGGTCTGCGCGTGTGCAGGGAGGTCAGGCATCACCCTCATCGGCTGCCCCCTCCCAGCCTGCCCCTCCGGC